GTTATCATCAGCAGTAACAGTAGTAATATTGCTGTTATTTTCAATTCCCTAAATAAGCAGTGGAATTCTTTAATGATTTTATTGCTTACTTTGGTTATTTGATATTCATCTCATAGTACAAAAACCCCTGGGGACTTTTGAGCTTCTTTACCTCAGACCCTCTATGTGTTGGGATGCTCTTTTCTTCCCTTTCATTTTCTCCCTGATTTACTCAACAGGCTTTTGGCTGGCTTTCTCCCTTATAAGTTCCCTTTCTTGAAATCCTTTGGAATTCTTTTCTCCTTCAATTTCAAGAGCTTGTATGTCCCATGGGTAATTGGGAAGTTAAGTAGAGAAAACTCCTCTTTCCTAGGGATTATCTTTACCCCAAACTATTGTCCTCCAGCAATAAAGCAAACCCACCCAGGTCCTCCTATATCCCGAGAGCAGTTTCCAATTGAAGCATACTACCTTTGGCCATCTAATCACAGATGGATTTGAAGTGTGTGTGTGTGTGTGTGTGTGTGTGTGAGAGAGAGAGAGAGAGAGAGAGAGAGAGAGAGAGAGAGAGAGAATGTGTATGTATGTGTGTGTTTCTTGCCTCAAGAAATGCTCATTATCTTGCCCATGTAATTGTAACCCTCTGTACAGTATTTTCACAATAAAAAAAAAAGAAATACTTTACAGAGAAGGTTAATAGAGTATTTTAACTGTAACATAAAAATAATAGTCAGTATTTACTGATACTACGTCCTAAAACCCAACAACCCTGTAAGGTAAGTATAATCATTCTACTACTTACAGATAAAGAAAGAGAGACACAGAAATGTAGGTGTACAAGAAGTTATGTCAAAAAACAAACTTTACAACTTTGGTAGGGGGGGAAGGAAGGGCGAAAGGGGGGGGAAGGGGGGTGGGGAGATGGGAAGGGATGGGAAGGGGAAGGGGAAACAAAGGAGGAGGCAACAATGCTTGATAAGAAATGTACTCATTACCTTGCCTATGTAATTGTAACCCTTCTGAATGGTATTTTCACACACACACACACACACACACACACACACACACACAAAGAAATGTAGGTAATTGATTTACAATCACATGGCTATGAGCCTGAACCGTAACAGACTATAGCGTCTTCTTGGATTTTGGGGGGGAAGGGTGAAAATTATTTTGATTGTCCACCCTTTTGCAGGCAGTTCTGTGCTGTGGGATGTTGACTCTCAGTAGGCTTCCAGTTAGACTGGGAAAAATGGAAGGTACCTGGGATGTAGGAAGGCTCCAGCACTGTTCTTGTTGGGTCTGCAGCATGATCTCACTGAGGACTAGCGTGAATGCCTTCCTCCTCTACTTTAGATTTAGAAACAATATAGGCTTCTAGATTCAGTCTTTCCCCATTTCTTTTTGGCTGCTCATAGCTTTTTCCAAACCAGGAAAAATTGTCATTCATTAACTACCATTTTATCCCTTCGAGTGGGTCATTTCATTTTTGCTAGAATGATTATTGATATTCAGCCTCTTAAAGAGACTAGAAATGTTAACACTTATTGGAATGAGACCAATCCACCAGGCTGAGATGTCCAGAGAGAAGTAATTTAGGGAATAAAGGGGTGTTACAGTACACAGGTGGGGAACGTGGAGAAAGGATGAGGAAGTTCAGACACTGCATCTTTCCCTGTTTTACCTTCTTTAACACAGGATACGGAACCACGAACATCCAGATTTCAGATCTGAACTTCTATATGCCAGCTGACAATTACTCATCTCATGATTACATGGGGGAGTGATACTGTAATGTCTTCGCTGTTGATCTGACTTCCGTGGGAAACCAAGCACATCTTTTAGATGTGTTGTAGCTTGTGCTTCCAAAAATGCAATTCCATATAGTGATTTACAGACCACTGATCCTCAGCCAGAAAATTTCTTCACTTTGGTTTTTCTTTTATGTTAAACAAAAATGGACGAGGCCTAGATCTTCTACTCAATCATTCTACTTCATTGTTTAAAACATAACAGAAAGTAAAATCACTTTCAAGTTGGCTCAAGTGACTTGATACAAAATCACTTTACCATGACAGGAAATGGATGCAGTAGGTGAAGAGGCCAAAACAATAGTACTCTACACATTCTTTAGAAAGCATACATGAAAAAAAATCCCTGAATTAAGAGTACACACACACACACAATTCCCTTGAATTATTGTATGGTGTGTGGGTCTTCCCTGAAATTCTTGTGACTGTTACATGTGTAGATATCAGCAGATTTTCTATTTTCCTTCTAATTTGTACAGTTTGTTTAATAAAACAATATATATATATAAACCTTCTAATTTGTAAGGTTTGTATAATAAAAGAATATATAACAATGAGCAAAGTAAAATGACTGACCTACCAAAACATTTTCAAGCACAGTTTTTGATAGTCACAATGCTTTTTATTAACAGAAATTACCATGTTGGTGGCTTACTTTAAGCGACATGTTGATTTACAGTTTCAGTAAGATTTCATAGAATCTTTTCTTATAGAAAACTGTAAGCACTTCTTCAGTTTTCAGATGTATGCCCCAGGTTTCAAAAAAAAAGTAGTAACTCAATCCTACTACTTAAAAAGCAAAGCAGCAACACTAATGCCCTGTACCAGACCTCCTTTGGAACATTTGCCATGCATTATCTCATTTAATTCTAAAATGAGATTCCATTGTCAGCATTAAGATGGTGAGAGTGTTGACTTAATCCAGAGACTAGAGTCTCCTAACTCTTTCCTCTCCTTTATAATTGTTTTATTCCTAAATTTACACCAAGCTGCCAGACTCAGATCACAGATTTGCATACATACAGGACAATATGTAGGTAGAAACCCCTGACTAAATGCTCCTCAAGTCTCAGTGGTAGAAAGTAAATGAGTTACTCCTTGTAGCATATCTGGCCAAGGGGTTCAAGTTGCTGATTGACAGATAAATCAAGACATAGTCTGTTAGCATCCAACATAATTGTTTTTAAAATATGCAACTTTAGCAAGGGTTTTATTCTACTCCTGATCTGCCAAAGTTGTATTTAAAAACCAAGATATGGTAACCATCTAGGAGATGAACACTAAACAAGCCAGAGCATTTAATAATATCTGTCAAATTTCCTGAAGTTTCCAGAAACATTTTGTTAATTACTATTTGTTAACTAAATTTGAGGATCTGGTCATTTTGGCAACTTTTGCATTTTTTAAGAATTTTGTAAAGGCATGCAGACTATAAAATTACAAATTATACTATTTATCTAATAAACTATGTTCTTCTAGAAGGCTTATTTTTCTCTATTTAAGACAGTATTTTCAAGTTTTTGTAAGAGGGTATGTGTACATAAATGAAGTCAAAGTCATGCTTTTTTCTGGCTCTGGGCCCAACTACTTTAAAAAAAAAAAAGTCCTGTGGTTCTTCTCATGAACTCAACCAACCTGCTTTCAGGACCTCTATGCTGTCTGGCTGCTCACCACCAGGTCTGTGAGCCTGTGCTTTCTGAAACCTCTAGTCCTGGCAATGAGTCTGCTCATCTCTTCTTTTATCCAGTGCCTTCTGGGAACCATACTATCTATTTACTGGACATGACATCCTCACTGGTATCAAAAGCCCTTCAGGCCAAAACCTCATCAACCACCAAGCAGGTGAAGAACTCACTAATATAGGAGAAAAACAATGCCATGTCTCCCCTACACCCCACCTGATGCTGGTGACACTGACTAGAGAAGTTGGGGTTAAAAACAACTATGGCCACCTGCCTCTCATTTATTAGGTCCCTGAAACTCATGTATTCTTTCCTCAACACTTGTAGGCTTCTAAATTCTCATTCAAACATTTATGCAAATTAAGTGCTAAGGGCTTTCTAAGACCTTGCCTAGACATTTCTGAGTCACTAAGTTGTCACAGTAACCATGCAGATATAAACTTCCAGGTTCATATATATTCATGTGCATTCTAATGAATAGATATATGAATATATATACTCACATATGACTATATATATATATATATATACACACACATATATAGTCTATATAGGGAATATATATACTATGCCTGTATATACAATAGCTTATAGAGAGTACAAAAACATACATAGTCACACATTGTAGTGAAAATATTTTGAGAAATTGTTCCCTCTAGAAATATCAAATGTTCTTTTAGTTCTACTATAATATAATAAGAATTCTTTAGTTATAGGACATCTACTGTCCCATGTCATTCACAATATAAAGGAATATGTTATGAAAATGAATAGTCCTTGTGTGGGTACAGAGATCATATCAATGAAATGTAAATAAGCTAATTGGACATCTTATCTTTTCCTGGTATGTTCCTAGAAATCTAAGTGGTAACCTAATTTATAAATAATTATAAGATAATTATAAATTATATAACATAATGTAAATATAAATTATAATTATAAATTAATAAATCAAGTTAAACATGAAGCAAAAAGTAAAAATTAAGCAAAGCAAATATTATTATCCCAAGTGAGGACAAATCAGGATAATATAAAAGAGAAAGAGGAAATCATGACAATTAGACCTATACCAAAGACTTATTTTATGGAATACCAAGATTTCCAACAATATCAATTACAGATTTTTGTTAGAAAACACTTCTACATTACTTATACAGTTTTTTTTTAACTTTAAGCTTAGAGTCTCATTGGAATTTTGTTTACACTCTACCTCCATAACCAGTTAAGTCTCATTTTACTAGTTATTCAAAAGTCATTCATCAGTAATGCAAATAGACTTTACAAAACCACAAGAACTATAAAAGTTATATTCATACTATTCAATTTTATAACAATACAATCGAGAAATACATGTCAGCTAAATCTGTTTCTCTACCTTAGTTCAGTATTGTTCTCATCCTGTTTAAGCCCTGGGAGTAAAAGCTATTGATTAAAATTGGATTTCAAATCAAAACTGCCACCACTGCATAGCACAACTGACATTGGTAAAGTAGCTGGCAATAAAGGAGATGCACATTCTTCAACTCACCTCATTAACTTGCTTTTTGTCCAAATGAAACACTTGACCAGAACTTGTAGAGGCAATTTCTTCATAGACTTTATATCCAATGTGGTTCCTGTCATCACAGTCTCCAGTGAGCACAAATACAACCTGTGATTTTTATAAAAAGAGACAGTTCAATGGTTTCTAGAAATCAACGTAATTGCTGGGCATCTCTTCATAACATATTATTAGGCAAGCAGAATACATATAAATACACACATCTTAAACCTGTACTCTGCTTAATAGTGAGACCAGAAAGGATATGCTTGCATGTCAGACAAATGGGCTAAAAGCTATGGAAGCGAGCCATGACCACATTAGATAACCCAATGACCTCCTTTCTTCACCTCTGCCAGTACCCAGATACTATGCCAAAGGATTTTGTAGTTCTCTTCACTAAGTGTGATAGCTCATTTTCAATCTAAGCTTAGCCACATGACCTGCTTGGCCAAAATCATGAGGCAAAGACAACATTCTACAAATTCTATGTATCATTCCAACAGGCCTTGTGCATTTCCATTTGCTTTCTACTGCTTCTTCCAAGGTCATGAATGTTCTAACTAAGCTAGCTACTCATATCAGAGGCTAAGAAACCAATGGGGCAAAGCCAATATGCCCAGAACCCAACTTAGATAAGCCAAACCCCAAACACTCCCAGACTACCATTATGTAAGACTAGTCTAAATTAACAACACTTCTGTGAGAAATAAATGCTTATTGGCTGAAATCTCTTCATATTAGGACCATATGGAATGTGCACAAAGCTAACTGATACAATGAATAACTGGCTCAGGCAGGACTCCACATGGGAGATAATAATGGAAATAGAGGACTTTTTTGTTAGGCTTAGGTTTCTATCCGTTACAAAGATAAGATTGTAATGAACATCTTAATAATCTCCAATCATTTCTTCTCTGTATTAAACAAGACACTCCCTGATCTATAAACTATATATATATATATATATATATATATATATATATTTACTATGGTAAAATTAGATAATATGTACATGCTGATACAAATAAGTGAATAGTTACTGCTATGTACCACACATGGAGTAGTCAAAGAACAGGCATTGTCATGCTTAACTCAGAAGGAAATGTTGGAGCGGATTCTACTCACCTGAGACTGTTTCTGTTGGATCAGCTGCAACACCTCATGGGTGAGCCGGTAGTCCTTGGACCGTGCATCCGTAAAAACATAGATGAATGAACCAGGAAGAGAAATTTCCAAGGCTATTTTTATAGCTCCAATACTCATCTCTGGACAATCACCACCGCCCTGTGAGCAGAAAGCAAGATGCACTCACTTCATCAGCAAATGAAGGAGGAGGAAGAGGAGGAAAAGCAGGAGGAAGAGGAGTTTCTGAATATTTCAGATAAAGCTAGTTGTTTTAAGAGTTTTCAAACCAAATAAATTCTTTTTGGTTTTACATCAGTTTGCTACTGGATGAATCACTTTAGTCAGGAAGTAATGGGGATGCTATAAAATGATGTGAGTGGAAATGTGTGGCTCAAATGGGAGAGTATCAGCCTTGAGCAAAACACAAGCAAGAATGCAAAGCATTGAGTTCAAGCCCCTAAACACAAACGCATACACAGATACACACACACACACACACACACACACACACACACACACACACACACACACACACACACGAATAAGAAAAGCCTGGACTTTTAGTCAAGTTATAAATTCACTCCAAATATAGAAAGTAATAGAAATTGGTATAGAGTTTTAAATTAAATATCTATTCAATCTCCTAGTCTCATAGAGAAGAGGTTCTCAATTTTTCTCACTCTTATTTGATAACTCTGCCTTTTACTGTACTGTGAATCAGCATCCATCGGAAGAAAATGTGCATATGTTCCCAAAATGCTATGTATTATTCTACTTGCAATAGCAGCCAGATGACTGACTTTACAACAAACAATTTTGCACCCAACACTACATCTAACTGCTTACCAGTGCAGTGACATGGTTCCCTGTAACTGACATTTCCCTCTACCCCAGAATACTCCTTACTGGATCAGTCCCACCAGCAAATAACTATAAGTCTCTCTGTACACACACACACACACACACACACACACAATCCCACACTCCTTCAAGTTTCCTCCTACCTATCAAGGAAGCTATGTGTGAGCACCTTATATAAAATATACTCTTTTGCTCTTTTCACTCTTGCTCAGGACTTAACCTCATACTTGCATTGCTTATAATTTAAATGCAGTTTCAAATTATTTAGTTTAACAAACAACACTTCTCAAAAACTTATATAGTTCTAATTTCAGTCTGCTGTACTTACCAGTCAAGTTATACTTTTTCATTTGTAATTTCCAGTGAGTAGATGTCTCTTATAGGTTCTGCCAGCGTCTCCAACTTTGGCAATCTAAAGTTTTTTTTATTATATTTTCTCTCAACTATGTCTCTCCTGTTTTTCTTAGTTTTACCACCTGCTTAGCTGTCACCTGAGTCACTTTTCACTCTGTCCTCTATCTACTTCTCAGTGCTAGAATATTATTCATTCAATGTTCATCATAACTCTAACCCTCTCTTTCTCTTTATTTCCTACCATTCACTTTTCTTGTTGATTTTATTGCCATATACAGCCTCCTATATGATTTTCTGTTTTTTCTGCTAATAACCCTTAATATTCTTGCAATAAAGATATATGTATGTATGAATATATCTTAGCCTTACTTATTATATACTAACTACTTGTGTTGAATCAAATTATTTTCTAGCTTTCTACCTTCTTTTGTTTTTTCTTCATATTCCTTCCTTTCAGCTGAGATTCCTTCCTGTTATTTCAATATTCACCCTACTTCACTCCTTAGTGTCTTAGGTATTTTCATTCAAGAAATCTTTACTACTCCCCAATAGACATGTGTCTTAATTCTTCTGTTATTGTACAAGCTTGTCGATGGCAGGAAATGTACTTTTCTGAGTCTCAAGTTCTTGGTTCACAGCATCTTGCTGCCATGAAGTGACCATTGAGTAAAGACTTGCTGGATTGAATTGGGGTTTTCCCAAAGTTGAGATAACATTTCTTCTCGCTCTTTTGAATGGGTCTTTATTGCCACTCAGATATACCTAGGCCTGCTTCAGATATGTCCAAAATGCTTTATACTTTAATGGTACTTACCCTACTTTCCTTTGACAGATAATTATTTGGGTGGTTATCATATGGAAAAGTGTTTGTATACCAGGAAAGTGGAAATAACTTCTAAAGCATATTAGTCATTTTGGTATGTAGGATGAGAAATTTTTCTTTACTCAAAGCCAACTTTTCTTATCTGCAATGAATATTCTGGGTAGCTCCAAAAAAATTGAGATTTCTAACTTGTATATTCAAATGTTGAAACAAAACCATTCTGCAATTCTGCTTGACAGTATACATTTGAGTGTGAACCATACAATACAAATTATTCATTACATAGTATTTGTTGGAGGGCCAGATTTGCAATACAGCTTCTATGGCAGTATAATTCTGTGTGGATATTGTCTGTTAGTAACTGTCATCTAGTACCATGGAAAGAAAAATCTTCTGCCTATGAACCAACCATCAGATCTCTAGAAATCCATGTAGGGAAGAGAAAACAAAATATGAAAAAGAAACAAAGAAAGATCAATCGTGTCCAGCAACTAAGATAGACTCTGAGCCACTTAAGTACAATTTTTTTTCTAAAAGAGCTATCACTGCTTGAGAAGCTTCTGTATCTAAAAACATATCCCTTGGAGTAGATTCTAGAGACTACTAAAATCCCCAAAAAATGACTCCAGTTGGAAATCCATCCCACTGGGATCCCTCCAAAACATCAATTGCACTCTAACATTAAATGTGGTCTTGACTTTATCTACTTTTCACCCATAAATTTGAATAGCTTAAAACCACATATTGGCTGGACACTATTGGCTCATGTCTGTAATCCTAGCTACTCAAGAGGTTGAGATATGAAGATTGTAGTTCAAATCTAGCCCAGGCTGAAAGTTTGAGAGACTTTTGCTCCATTAACCAACAATAAACATGACATGAAGCTATAAGTCAAGTAATATAGCACCAGTCTTGACAGCATCTTAACCCCTGAGCTCAAAAAGCCCCACTATTGGCAAAAAACAACAAACACATATTGCCTGTCATGGTAGCTCAAGCCTGTAAGTTGGATTTCAGAATCAGAGGATTACCATTTGAGGCCAGACAGGACAGAACATTTCAAGAGACTCCATCTCAAACAATAGCTGGGGCAGTGGTGAATACCTGTTACCCTACCTACAGATAAAGCACAATGGTTAGACACAGTGCTGTGCAGCTGCCGTCCCCAGCAACACAAGAAAATATATGTGAACATCACAGCCTAGGCTGTGCTGGGCACTGGCAGAAAATAACCAAAGCCAAATGGCGGCTCAAGTAGTAGAACACCTGTCTTGCAAGTACAAGTCACTGAGTTCAATCGTTAGTACAATATTCATATTATATTGATAAGACAAAAAATGTAGGCAAATCATTCCAATATTCTTCTAAAAGTAAGGAATGCCCTTTTATAGTAGGATTAATAGAAGTCTCAAGGTACCTAGAAAATTTGGATAATAAAGTTAAAAATCTTTGACTCATATACATCTGAAATCCATACTGGATTGTGCTTATAACTTAATTTCTATTATTGCTATCAGTGTACCTTTTTATACTTTGTCTAAAATATTATATAATGAGAGCACGAAAATCCCTATTGCTCTGGGCACTCATGGAACATTGTTCCTTTTTGTTTGTGTTATTGGCTTGAGTTATGTTATAATGCTCATCTCTTTCCAGTTAATCCCTATTTATCAAAGAATTTAGTAGATATTCCATTGTTGTTCAGTGAATGAATGGCTAAATTAATGAGTAATGATTTACTAGGTGTATGACATTGTGCAAAGCAGTCTTTGTTTATTTAATATATATTTTTATTGTAACGATACTGTACAGAAAGGTTATAGTTACATGGGTAAGGTAATGAACCATTTCCTATCGAGCATTGTTACCTCCTCCTTTGATTTCCCCTATCATCCCTTCCCTCCCCACCTCCCCAACTCTTCCCTCCCCTTCCCCCACCAAAGTTATAAAGTTCGTTTTGAACATAGTGTCTTGTACATCTCATTGTTACAATGAGTCAACCTGTATCCTTGTTTCAGCATTTTGTTATTTCCCTTCCCCTCCACAAATTAGAAAAATGTATATACAAGATGCAGGGCACTGGAATCAAATACAGTGAAAACAGGGGAAGAACATACAAAAGAAACAAAAAAATCATACAGTACATTATAAGCACATTAAAAACAACAACAAGAAAGATAAAACCCCTTGTATCCCTGTCTTGGGGTTCATTTCATCTAGAATCATCTTATATGGTCATATGTCTATAGCTTTTGACCTTTTCTGCTTGTCCTAGATGTATACTAGTTATGGGCAAAGCAGTCTTAACACAATCTAGGCACACTTGTATACACTCTGCACCTTATTTAAACTCAAGCCTCTCCCATTTCAAGTGATACAATGTCAGAGTTAAACTCTCTAAAGGTGCAAGTACCAAAGTTATCCATGCACATAGGAAAATAATAACTAGATGTGTGTGTATATAAATGGAGAAATATATGTAGAGAGATATGTGTGTATATATATAAACATATATATATATATATTCTAAGCAGTATATGAATTGAAATCATCTTGTCTTTGATATATATATGTGTATCCTGAAATATGTTCAGCTTTAGCATTTAACAGGAGAAAACAAACATGACTATTTATCTATATTATGATAAACCACCCACACACAGACAGACAGACAGACACACACACACACACACACACACAACACACCATGGAGATGATCACTGAGTAATACATTGAACTGGAAAAAATCCTTTAATGTATATTAGGATGAGTCCAATATGTTTATCTTGTGTTCTTTCTTGAATCCTAGAATATAACTAACTTTGGTATTTTTAATCTTTATAATTCTACTAATAGCTAAAATATACTAAATTTCCAAAGATAGTTCAGATAAAAAATGGAATAAATTATTTATGTATGTATATTTGTATCTATATATGTGCATATATGTATATATACATGTATGTATGATATGTTATGTTTATACACACACAAACACATACACACACACACACACACACACACACACACACACATCAGAGTTACAGTGATAACTATGTTAAACAATTATTCCTGGAAACCAAGACAAAGAATGAATAGAAATCCTGTCAGTCAGGGAAGT